GGAAAGGCGGGCCGGACGAGTTTTCTGAACTTGTTTGCTTCCATTGTTCCACTAATCCACGCATATTTGAATTAACCGCACGCCTTAGTCCACGCTGCGTACAATGAGGCGTGCGCGAGGTATCTCGTCCATAAGTTGAGATTAGTCGCCACAGGACCATCCGATAAGAACAGCGATGGACTTCGAAGTACAAGGCAAGCGACCGCGAGGAGCCCCAAAGAAGAGGTGGAAGACGTATCAAGAAGGACCTAAGTGAAGTCACGGCCACAGCAGATGCCCTGGACAGAGCAAAGTGGCGACGACTGACAAAGACAGCGGACCCTGCGACTGCGCGGGACTAACGCTAGGGAGAAGAAGAAGAAGAAGTTAAGGCACAACCCAGGCAGAGGTCGTGTGAACGCTTCCCTTCGGTCTGTAGTATAGACCCCTAGAGGACAATCACAAATGTGGCGTTCCCGTGCACGGAAACCAACCGACAAGAGCGCTTGGGCCTTGCAAAGTAAGCTGCTGAAGCTGCAGATTTTTTTTCTTATCAGGCTGTTCTCGCCTCATACTCTCCTCTCCGCGCTTAGTCTCTCATTCCCTTAGCACAGCCGATTAGGAAGGTGAGTGAGCCCTTAACCTAAGCGTTTTCGACGGATTCTTTTCCTTTTTTCTTTACTGCCGGCCCATTTCGCACCAATACATTCGCATTCGTGTGCAAGAGCCACACCAATGTGATCCTGGGGCATGCCTTCAAGATTACTCGCCATGGGTTCACTTTACAAAGCTCCAGCACCATGTCGCGCATTTAGAGACGCGACAACGACACATCTGTGACACTTGTGGGCTACTCTATCCCATCCAATAAAGTGGTCCTACGCACGACTTTTGCTGGGCTTGGTGGTAAGTAAGAAGGGTGTGGCTATACTCAGTAGTGACAATTATTCCTTCAGAAGGAAAGAGAGAGGGGTGCGCGTCATCACTGTAGGCAGGCAGCATTCTGCATTCTTTTAACCTTCTGCGACTTTTTGATATCGTAGATGAGATGGCACTCCTGAATATGATAGTAATGGCTGTGAACTTTTTTACTGACCGTCTGCCTCATCGACGACATAGATTTGTCCAACCCCTTTGGAATCCTTCCAACGCGTCATTGGTTACGGTAATTTGAGAAGGGATGGATCGTAGGTTGCACTGAAATTCCAAAGATAGCACTGACTGATTGTCATTCCGAAGAAGTAGGGGTTTCACTGAGCCAATGGAACAGATTTCAGGGAGATTTCCCTGCAGAAGGAATCGTTAGTAAGTAACATGAAAATAATCGAGTACCTTTTAGGAATAAATTTTTGAGTTTCGGCGCCCATAATTATGAGGCACTCTCCAGAATGAACCCCTGCTAGTTGTACAATCTCTTCAATTACTACGGTATTCAAGTAGCGAGCACATATTTAATGGAGGAATGATTTGATCAATATTGATTAATGCTTCTGGAATAAGCCGCGTACTAGACTTCTCCTTGGAATCGTATTGCACTGGATCTGTGACATGTTAAAACTTTTGTCTATTTTCCCTTTGTTCTAGTTTTCTGTAATACTTGTCGACAAGGTAGAAGTCTTGGTTTACACGGCGGGAGCTGAAGTTCCATACTTTATCAGTCCCGCGCATTTCCTCTGTGCCACCTTCTTTTTATTGGTATACCACCCAACTGCCAACCAAGTCCTCCAATCTCTACGAATATTTCAACGAAGCCTATGCATAGTAATGTTCTTATCAGCTCAACTCTTCATTGATTACGTCATTTTTTATACATTTTTTTCGATGTAAGTCAATATCCAATCATGTACAATGTGAAAATTTCATAATTAATATGGGTTCGGATAGTTGGGCTATTATGCTCCGATACCGACGAATACTGATAGTGTTATTGTAATCGAGGCCATTGCTAGAACGCCAATGGCCACCAGCATCACTCGGATTCGATTAATCTGGAAAGAAAAGCACAGAATATTAGTATATAATAAAGGTGATCATGAATGGAGCCAGCGAAATGGTTTGACTGAATAGCTTCAATGAGGCCCTGCAGTAAGTTGGCAGCTCCATCACGAGAAGCTTACCTCGGGGGCTCACATAGAAAACGCGATGTTGTTGCAGTAGAAATTGTGTGACACGACCAGCCGGTTATCAGTCAGTTTCTCAACATACAGACATAGTGAAGATCATGTCGCCGACCCTAATGAAAGCAACGTTCAGGTTCTTCGTAGAAATTAAGCTTTTTTTCGCGAGAAAGCAAGCGGTATGAAGCGGAAAACTATTCCTCACACAACTTTCGGAGACTTGACAAGGCGAAGCGCAAGGCCTCAGTCGCAGTCAGATATGGCCGTCCGCTCAAGACCGTGAGTCGCCCACAAATCACTGCTATTTCGCTTCGCTGCTACTGGAGGGAAGGGTTTATTTTCAGCCTTGGCGAAGGTTTCTGCCGTCTTCACAATGCTAGCGTTGCACTTCTCATCTCCCATCACAAGCCGCAAACTAATGCTATCAGTTTGATCCCGGGGCTATCGTCGAACATGCGGTCACCTAACGATGTGGTTTGCGTTAAAAATGAGACAAAAGAGTGTTGACCAGCAATTGCTCCCACTTTCACCGTGTTACTCTCATGTGGTGAGAGTCAATGACGAGGTTTACTCGGTGGAAGACCGCATTTGCATCTCTGGGACGGAACGAACTACTCGGACTTGTTCCTTCAGACCGTCTTAATTTGAAGCTCCCACCGGCGCTGTCTCGCTTGAACAGCGCATCGTCACTACTGTTATCTCACACAAACTTTTTGCGCAGTGTGATTGGCTCATCAACCCCGGAGTCCCCTCTCCCCTCCGAGGCTCAGTCAAATAGCGCTTACGTTTTCTCTTGGCATTCAAAGGTGAACCAGGAGCCGTTCTCTAATCGTCTGTGCTTCACGCATTCGCGGCAGGACTCTTGAGGAAAGCTCAACTCATCTCTGAACCCTCTGGGACAGGGTGAAGCTAATAGTTTATTTTCTCAGATGGAACGGGTCTCAATCTTCCAGTAGGAGTTCTCACGACGATTTTTTCACACTTGTTGAAAATCTACACTACAGGTCCTGAATTCTGGAACCCCTGCCTTGACTGTTCTACGTAGCCCCAAAGCTTTCCCTGACTCTCGAATGACGTTTCTGGCTGAGCTAAGAATCAGTTGAAGTGTAGGATGAGATCTGGGGTTGGAGTCGAATGCAGCTTGTAAGAACCCTAACTGAGGTGAGGGGGTCGTATCAGCTAATTCCTTATCACGTAGCTCATTCTAGCCTTCGAATGGTGTCAGAGCCCGCGATCCGTCGGGCGATTCGCGCGAATCGCAAAAATCCCAAGTGCCCCATTTGAACATTTGAAACTGGCGCGGGATTGGAGAGCACCTCGCAGTATTGATCGGAGGACTTGTGATTTCTGTGATCTGTCGCGTGATTCGCGCGTATCGCGCGACGGATCGCGGACTCGGACCCCAGCCTTAGACATTCTGCGCTGTCTGCGTAAGCAACAATGTGTGCAGAAAATAATACAATTTTAGAAAATACAGAAAAAATAGAATTTCGGGGAAATTTCCGAGCATGGTGCAAACCAACCTTCTCGAAGTTCATCTCGTTCACCTCGACAAGTTTGTCGAGCGGTGCGAACACTGCACTGAGCACAATGAGCAGTACGATTGGCATTAGTGATAGTGTCAGTTGAGCCACTCGGTGGGGCCATATCGAGAGAAAGTGATCGGCGGCAATACAAATAGCAGTCGCTGGAAAGGGTGTACTTCATTAGTCCTCAACTTTCATTTTATACAGGGGGGGGGGTGGTAAAAAAAGTCACTTTGCCATGGCGCACATCATCGATTTTTCGTCGCACAGGGAGCCGATGTTAATGAAGTTTTACGGCAGAATATTCCTTAGGTGTTCCCCAAGCAGAAGCAGGCCCTCCTTCACTGCCCCACCGTCTTCAGAATATGACGTCATCTGCCGTCACCGTCGAGCTCAACGAGGCCTACCGTAATCGCTCCGGCCTGAAGCTGCTACATAATTTCTTCAATCGGTTACGTGGATAGCTTTTCTGATGCGTTAGCTTCCCAAAGAAATCTTATAGAATAGCTTCCCAAAAGAACCTTGTGGGTTAGCTTTTCTGAAGACTACATACTTGGTGACAGCTTTTGACGAGCTTTCAAGACGTCGTAAATGTCTAGTGGTTCCTGCGACGACCTCGCTGAGCTCCTACTGTGCAGCTCACATATTCCGGGGGGGGGGGGGTGGAATTTCTGGCTCTTCGTGTGGAAGGGCCTGTGCAGCCTTATTGATAATTAGAATGTTGCCCTTCAATTTTCAGTTCGGCTCAATTCGTTGGTATTTATGAATAGTCTAACCAGTATCTGTTTAAATTGGGATTTACAGTTTTTTGAACAAAACTCGCTCCGCTGTACAAATCCTTCTATGAATTTCATGAGGCAATCAACAGCGGCAATATGTGGATTTCAAGCGTGCAGTCGCAAGCGCTCGATTTATGAATTAAAACCATGTCATGTGAAGCATATAATGTTTTCGCGGAGTCCGTTCGAAACACTACCGGAAGCTGGTCAAACTGCCCAGTAAATTTCTCGGTGTATTAAGATGTGCTAGTGGTTACAGCGGCGCCATTCCAAGTCTGACGTCTAGGAACCAGATGTCATATATCCTTTTTATCTGATTGGGAATGGTTCCTGAGGATTAGTTCACAATATTCTTCCACCGTTCGTTTCGTCGTAGTCTGAACTTTCCAAGTTGTGGAAGGGAATAGAGAGCGCAGCACCGTGATGTGTGCAGGTTCCGTAACTTTCACGACCCCCGCCTCGTGATGGTCGATGTCAGACTTATGTAATCGATGCGATACTCGCTAGCGTTCCGGTCGCGTCGCGGCCAGCCATTCGACGTCATACCGTGTATCCGCAACGCGCCCAAGCGAAATCAATCGATTCCTGAAAGTCTGGACATGCCTACAGCCTCTCGGCAGGAGTCCCCTCCATCAGAACTCGAGAGAGATGGTGGTGAGTTTCCCAATAAGCCTGATAATTCCCACCTCCTTTTACCGCTGTTCCTACAGTATTTGATCCGCAGACCAGTCGACACACTCCAACCCCTCCGAGTTCCCTCCCAAACTTTCCGAGCGAGCGATGGGGGGAGAGGGGTAGGTGGTCGTGTAGATATGACTGAAAAGCACTAAGCGCTTCTTACCTGGTGCTCGCGCAAATCAGATCGTCACGTTCGCGAAGGCTTGTAAGTGGGGATCAGGTACGGCAAAACCGAATATAGCAGCACATAATGACATTGTTTTCGCTTTTCGAGGGACGCATTTCAGGTTTGAATGATCGTAGGCCTAAAGAGGAAGGGGATGGACCCTTGTAGCACGAAATGTTGTTTTGCCAAAAAATATGGTACTTGAGATCAAGAGCTCAAGCATCTACGGAAGTCGAACTGATTCGTTGTTTATCCCCTTCCAATTTTTTGAGTTCAACGTTTTACTCCAATCTGACTATTTTCGTTACTATTCGGATCACTCGCTGGTAACCTCGTTGTTTCCTAGAAGTTTCGTTGAGAATCATGATCGATATGCATTTTCTGAACGATGTCCGGTAACCGACTGTGAAAGACTTACTGGCTAGTATCATTGCAGTTATTCCGATGAAAACGATGAACCCAGTTGAAATACGGTCGACGTGGATGACCCGGGTTACACCTGGAATGGAATGTTCTCACGCGGTGAGTCAATACTGAGCTTACCTGGACGGCATCATTCAACTAGCTACAAATACGAAGTTTTAGACAATAGGGAAGCTTAAAGCAACAGTTCAGGAACGGTTTCGCGGGAAAAAACCACCAATAATGAAGTTGTAGATGAAAACCAGACGATTAATGTATGAAAAACTGGAAAAAAACGTCGGGGAGGGTCTTAGACAGGTACTCTCCCTCTGCCGCTCAGCAATGGATAAAGACGCACGTTGGACGAGTTGTCTGAACGTGCCCGCTGTAAAACGCTCCATTTTTCAATCAATTTTCCCTGTGGTCCCAAAACGAGCACGATTGCCGACGCGTCCAATGACGGCCGGCAAGGGGGCGGGATTGGGGAAATCCCCAAGAACACCCATGTTTGAGGGACTTTCCACCCTGTTTTTGAGTTTCTGAGGTAAGTTCGTTTATTATTTCCACTGCATATGTTCTTCACTAGGGCTCGTGTATCCCTCAGTAGTAGTGGCATTGAAATTTTCGGACCCTCCCTGAACTGTTGCTTTAAGTGGCAAAGTTAACGTATCATAAAGCAATAACAAATGGCTGAAGCCATGCCAGCAGAGAGCGAAAATGCCGATCATCGAATGCGTTTTGCCCCATTTACTTGATTGAGATCCTGAGGATAAAGTAAGTAAGCGAGAGAAAAAAAGCAGCAGAAGGGAACTCCGTGATAGCGGTTGATAGCCATTCAAAAGAAGAATTCGAATCGTAGCATTACATTCGATTTCTGTTGACTCTACGCTACCTTATTTGTTGCAACGCGAGCTCTTCACGATGAGCGAGTGAATCCGATTCTAAATAAAGAACTAACCCAGAAGGTTAGCGCTAATGTGGATATTTGAGCGCGATCCTATGCCAATGTTGGAATCATCGTTCGTTCCTCCATACGACCCTCATCGGAGCCATTTGTCCATACGACCCTCACATCGGAAGCCATTTGCAAACTGTAGTCGGAACCAAAGCAACGGTCCGTTGGCATAGCCACCAATGGGAGTCGTATTTGCGACTACGGAAGAGGTAGTATTTAGTGTTGACTCAGAATAAGGGTCTAAATGTGGGCCGTACTCGGTGTTGGCTAAGGTCGAGAGAGCTAAAAGCTAAGGAGTTCATTACTTGTGAAGTGAAGGGGGCATGGTGGGAAGGGAGTTTCGTTTAAGAACGGGTTGTCAATGAGGCGCTGGAGAAAACGTCAGAGAGGAGTGTGAATAGGTGGAATTGTAAAATTTTTTCTTTTTAACAACATTCACCTCTCGCCTTTTTGGCCACGCTCAAACGGCCCCATTCGGGGAAAGAAAGTGGGTGGTTGGGACTGGCCTCAGAAATCAAATTCTTCTAGAACAAGCTCATTACGGAAGATCCTATGGATATGGCAAGGTGGTCGTATCGGAATCCGCCCAACTGATATGTAGTGAGAAGGATCGTATTCGAAAACGCCTCTCTGAGAGAAGGATCCGTGAAATTTGAAAAGGTACCACCGACAGGCTGACCCGTTTCGGACCTGTACGGTTCTCATCGCCATTCAGAATCGAAACACGCAAAGACCGCCATGAATGCGAAATATATTGATACACCTTTTTAAACATCAATGAGGCGTCGATGCAGATCACACACGCATGAATGACGAAGCCGGTTTCTATGGAATGGAATTGTTAGCCTTTTGACTAATTATTCTATCAGTTTGTTACTAATTACAACTATCATTTACCAAAAATCAGCTATCACTATAAACCACTACTAGCCAGATTTACTTGGAGGGCCGTCGTCACTTGTGGTGTATGGTCTGCACCCGACGCTTCTCTCGTTTTTGAAAGAGAGGGTAAGATATAGCCGAACGGAAAATTTCTGCCTTCTCTATTTTTCTGGAGATAAATCCCTTTTAGAAAAATATCACCAATCCATCACTTCCAAAAACAATACATCTATCACTACTACGCGGTCGTCCTGCTTGAACTTTGCCAAACGGGGAGCTCACCCTGACGTCAGCGCGTACCGAATGTAATGCGTGCCCCGCGCATATTGAGAGGTACTCACCTGGTCCAGTCCATTCCCAATTGTTCGCAGTGATACACGACGAACGATGCAACATTGAATGCGATTCCAATAAGGTTTGATGTTCGATGAACCTCAAGCAATAAATTTATTTATCCCCAATATTCGGTACTATTCACCAGAAACTGAATAATTATCAGAGTCTATCTCAATAAAGGGGGGGGGGGACTTTTTGTGCACACAGACCTGCCGACCACAGCGACCAATTATCGAAGGAGAGTGAAGCCCTGAGGTAAATGAAACGTCCTTTTTGAGAAGGGAGATGTTTTATCATGGTTTTATCGTTCAAAGCGAGCCTGGTACATTCGGAAAATCTCAGAGTGAGAAAGATTTAGAGCTTTACGAAGCTCGATTACTTGAAGGATGAATGTGAGGAAACTTTAAGCCCAACTCATGCCTCAACTTCACTCACTCTTCATAAATAAATAATAGAAGGATATTTTTAATGCCGGCTGATGGATAGCCTTGGTGGATAAGAAGGATGAAACTAATATGCGAAGTCGGCGTAATCAACCCCTTTCCGGAATGCGCCACGATTTCTAGTAAAGGCAGCAGTATACAAGTCCGTGCTTTTATCTTCGCAGACGAGTTGGTGCCAATTAACCGAGCCCTGAAGGCTGGAAAACCTGGGCAATCTGGCATTACAGACATCTTTAGCCCAAATAAGACTCGCCCCGTAGATATTCATGCTGGAAAACCCGAGTCTCGTTTGAGGGCATTGAAGCCCGGACTTATTTCTTTAGCTCTTCTGCTCACTCTTCGCAGCTCATAGCTCTCGGTTTCCAAACGGGCCGACGCCAAACTTATCGCGTCTTGAGTCCCGTTGTCCGCCAAAGACACGTCGAATGTCATTTCTTCAACTTTCGTCACATCGAAGGTTCTCACGTGTTTGTGCGGCTTGAAGCAATACGAAGTTGGACATACACCGTAGTTGTGAGATTCACTATCAGATAGGGAAGGTGAAACTCGAAGGGGACTGGGGATCTTATCTGGATCATAATTTCAACTTAAAACGGTTGCGCTCCGCCTGGGCAGCTAGGTCTCCTGCTGCATATCTGATGAGATGGATGTTTTCAACCTTCCCAAGCAATAAAAAGAAGATCTTCGAATTTCAGGCCCAACATCTGGAGACACTAAACGGTAGGAGTGAGTCACTACAGGCGAATAAACCTTTCTTAGTTTTCGGTTTATTCTGACCTTTCGTCGACTCCAATTTTTTGGAGATCTGGGAGAAAGCCCATCTCTGGTCCACCGTGTTGATAGTGAAAAGGCTGCCAAAATGGTGGGAGTGTGAGAATTTGCATTGCAGCATTTACTTGCCTCGTTTTGCGCTCTTCAATAGCCTTCAGTGATTTGGGCATTGCAGTTGTAGTAGAGGATGGTTCAGACTTTGCGGAATCGCCGGATACGAGCGCTTGCCCCAGCGAATCGAGTTGTATACCAGAGGCTCAAACGATGTACCAGCAACTCGACACCAAGGGTGAATAATGGTCGAGGAGCTCCTCGACCATCGCTCTCTGCTGTGCGAGAGTAGAGCCGATAGTGAATGTACGCGCGGAGAGCACAGACGGCTCGCGGGTGGCGAGAGTGAATATCCGCGCGCGAGAACGTAAAGGATCAGGCGAAAATCCTCGACGTGCCGTTGAGGAATCCTCAAGCAATATTCACCCTGCCGACACCCTGTTTCAGGGTGACGGAACATCCTCCCTGGAAGGTTGGCTCTCATCAGTTTCTGGGCTTATGAGGCAAGAGAGAGTGAGAGGATATGAGAACTCGGGAATCTGGCCAACCTTCAAACAAGACGGAATCGCAACGCCCGTACCCAGCGATTCGCTAGCGATTCGCAAAGTCTGACGTAGGCCTTAGTCAAGTAGGTCAGAATCGGGAAATGGATGCTGCATTGATAAACTGGCTAAGGGTCCCTTTGGACAATGACGTGATACCAGCTTTTTGTGACTGGAAATGGCTCCAGCCTTGGTTTGATTCATTCGAAAAGAGGTATCGAAGCATATTACAAGTCAAATGTAAGTTATATCTTCCGAAAAGCTGAAACTCACATGGAACCATATCAAGAGACCACCCGGTTTCACAGTCGGCCAACTAGCTCGCAAGAATCGAGCAAACATCGCAGCCGTTGGGATGAAGAAGAACCACGAGATCAGCATCAGAATGGCTATAAGGCCAAGAATTAGCAGGTTTTGAGGTACGCATGGCGCACTCCAGTGTAATGGTCCCTCTGATAGCCTTTAGCGGAGACCATAACTGCACTGGTTACTCTTATAGCAACACTGACTACTAGAGAACACAACGACGGAGTATTGGGCCGTGGTCACCCTTTTGGGTATGCGCCATGTATTTGACATCTACTCAGAATCGTACAGGTTTGTACGGTGGAAGATTACGTATGTACATTCTCGTATAATGGTCAGCCGACTAAACAATGGTGGAGATAGTCCAAAGGAAGGTGAAGCACCTCCCATGCCCATGGTTTGACGATCAAGTCCCGGATCAAATTTCCCTCAAGCCAGCCGACTCTTGATCCCTCAAGAACTTTGAGAAGTGGGTTGTTGGTATTTCTGGTAGAGTAGTCTTCAGTGATAAAAATACGGACTTGTTTATAGGCTGTTTACTTCCCTTCCCCAGCTCTAGCCTCAGTCATTGTCTAGTCCAAATAGCGTTCAAATTTTACGAAATACTAAGTCAAGTAAGAATACGTGGCGCATCCTAGAAAGGGTATGATCAAGCCTAATGACCGCCCCATCTGTTTACATTTTGAAGGCTGCGGTGTCTAGAAGAACCCGAGTTATGGGTAAGCCAAAAGGCAAGAGTAGGAATCGATCCTACGCCTGATTTTGTGCTTATCGTCACACCGCTGGAAATCTTCTGCTCTCTTACTGGGTAAGATTACCAGGCTTTGAATTCATACTTCTGAATAATTGAAGTGATAAAATCTTAAAGCTCCAAATATACCATGTGCTTTAATGAGCCGCTGCTTGACGGTTGCGCTCATACCACTCGTTCCTGATGCATCAGCGCTGTAGTCGGACAGTTTCCGGGGAGTCGATATAGCAGTCCTCGTATGTTGAGTGAGACCTGAAGACTTATCTTCAGTGTTAACAAATCTGCAAGTACCATTCATGGTCAGAAGAAAGAACCATAAAGGCAAAAGAAGCCTGGGGCCACCGAGGGAGTTAAAGCCCGCTTGCTGAAGCGGTTGGGTTGTTGTATTTTGAAGCAAACGAATACTTAAAGGCGTATCACGGGATTCAACTACAATAACAGTTCCTTCGGTCAGTAAGATAGAGCTAATTGCGTACGGTATCGATAAGCCATCCACATGGCAAAAGGGGCGACAAGGGTGCTAGTGGCCTTCCCAATGTTCTCCATTAGTGGCCACGAGTGGTACCACACGTGAATCCGTGCCCTCTTCTATGGCATGCTCTTTCGCGTATTCTCTGTCTGTACGGTGCGTCTCTTCGTCGCTATTGTATCGCTAGAAAAATGCCCCGCATATTGCGATAGCGGACTATTTGCGACTCTAAGCAGCGAGGGAAGCCAAAGGGATGAGGAGGTTCCACCTGGAGTCTGAACGAGGCAAGGAGCGTTGAGGTGCGGCGTAAGTTCAATTTGTGAATAAGAAAACCCTTTTCTGTGTTTTTTTTATTTTTTTTTTTTTTTTTGGGGTTCTGTGAAGCAGATGAAAGCTCACTCTTGCACTCCGGAACTCAGCTCCATCCAATATTCCTCATTTTCTGGCTCACAATTATTTGGACACCATCCGTAATCAATACCAATACAACATATAAAAATATGGAGAAGGCGTGGAAATGAAGCTCATAGCTTAGGGCAACTTTGGAAGATTCCTTGTTGGAAATTGGATTACCGTAGCCATCATATCACCAGAAGCCCCGCCATAGGAGCATAGCGTCATATTCCGTCTATTCTTAGCTGTCTGTGGGTGAAAACCAAGAAAAGAATAAGGATTTTGTCAAAAGTTTCTCCACATTTTCCTATTTCTCGTTGGTCTCCTCGATTTTTTCAGCTGCACTAAATTGGCAGGAAAAGTCCTGAATTCCTCACTTGAACCTTCACTTCAATGCTTACCTGAAGATACTGCTTGTCCTGTGGCCAAGAAGAGGTAGTATTGCATCTTCGGGTCGTAGGTGAAAACCTGAAACAAGTACCCTTTTGAATTTCCGACTAAGAGCTATGGCCTTGGCGGGTTTAAGAGCCGCCTACTTCATGAATGCTTATTTTTGCGTTGTTCGGAGAGCAAGAAGCGTTAAAAATTATCTGAGTTGTCAAAACCCCTAGCGCTCAAGCTGCACTCTTGTGAACGCAAAAGTTAGTATGAGGGCAATTTTTAAGAATTCAGCAGAATACCAAGAAAACGTACTTCACTATTCCCAGTCCATCCGCTGACTGTCACAATGGCTGAGCAGTACATCTCGCCATTGCTGAATCTCGCGGTCTCGTTTCGAAAATATGAAGAGCGAATGTTCTGGAACAAAGTAAACCTTGGAAGTAGTCCAAAGGTTCTACAGTTTAATTTCATTAGAACACTACCCTCGGAATGAGTTAGTCAGTCCGTAACCGCAGACAAACTGCCACTATCTGCGCAGTGAAAGCACGTGGCAAGAGGGTGTACAACAGGAGGCCGGTCGCGGCAGAGAAGCAGACGGGTCAACGAACGCGTCGCAGCGCGTATTGTGATGTACTGTGGTGAATTCGATTCGGCTGGGCGCTAAATCGCTCCGCGCTGCGACTCGTACGCGGACCCGTCTGCGTCTCTGCCTTCTCGCCACGCGACGGGTCCCTGTCGATTACTCGTGGCAAGGGCGCTGAGAGCTTGTGACCGCTCACCGAATGCGCTGATGTCTGCGTCTCGTTCGTTTCTTATGTTCTCTCGTCTCCTTCGTCTTGCTCCCGTCTAAGCACCGCTTCGCCTTCGCCTCACTCGCCGCCCAAAAAGTTCCTTATTTGCAATGTTTCGACTGCTTTCATCATTTTTCCTCCGCAAGCGAATCAGATAGAACCCATCTTTTCCAAACAGTCAAATACTTTTTGCTACCGCGAGATCACCTTTAAGTGCAATTTTTCATGTGAAGAAATCTTGTCTAAAAGTTGGCTCATGCCTTGAAAGTGGACGATCGTGCCACTTTTACGGCTAAAGTTGAGAGTCGTAAACTCTAAAGGCTTTTGGCAGCCTATTATCTACGCCTACTCAGAAATACCACACCTCTTCTTCCGTGTGTTCAGCCTAATGTAGGGGCTGCCTCTCGAATAATTCATCTAGTTCTCAGGATCGGAAATTTAGTTCTTATCAAATTTCACCCATTTTTTGAGTCCTGGACAATACCATCATAGTTCTGAGAATGGTGAAGTTC